GCTATTTTTTGATTTTTTTTAAAATAACTCTTTTATGAATTTTAATGTAAACATTCTTTATTTAGTAAAAATAATTATTGAAATAAACTGTAAAGAACATAAAATACATAGAAAAATTCTTTATTAATTGACTATAAAGGTAATGCTATACCTCTCTCGATTAAAATCACATAAAAATTAATAAATTGTTATAAGTTAGAACGTATAAAAACAGGTATTATTACGACATAATGAATTCACAAAGGATAAAATAAAATAAAAGATAAATTCACTTAGAAATAAACAATAATCTAAAATACTTGGTTACAAAATACGATTTAAAAACGTAATTAGCATATAATTATTATAAAAACCTAAAAAATAATAACAAAAATCTTAATCTTACATCATTATATAATTTAGATTTCAATTTTATATTTACATACTGTAAATTAGAAAGATATTGAATTAAAATGAAGAAAATAAAGATAAAAGTGTATACATATTCTGCGACATCCTATATATAGTCTATGTAAACTTTTATATACATTATGAGTATTGAAAAGTATAAAATTCTATAATTTTTAGTCGTATTTAGATACGTTGTTGAGAAATATATCTAATTAGATAAAATTATTCAGTTATATATGCGTTAATTTCTATTCTATTAATAAATTTTATCATTAGTAATCGGTATTTTTTTTTATTTCTATTAGATTTTTTTCTTGAAAAAATTGATGATATATAACGTTATTTTGTATATTATTCATTCTTACCGTTTTCAATATTTTGTAAATTCATTTTTTATTATTATACTCACTATATCTAAAATGAGATTTTGAAAGAAAACTCAATGATCCTGAAAATAAAATAGCAACGATAAACATTGCGAAACACTTGGTATAAACGAAAGATCTATACAATATGTCATTTTGTTGATCTATATAATAACATCATAGACTTTATTTCACGTTAGGAGACTTTTTGATAAAAAGAAATAAAAATATCGACTACTCCGGATATTGACTGCTATTTTGATACTCTCTAGAGATATTATCATCATATTTTCATTCCTTAAATCGTAGACTATTTAATGTTACTGAATATTATGATTATTAATTCAGTTTTGATATGAATTGATAAATATAGCTTTATCTACATAACATTCTTTCTTATAAGTTTTAAATTTTATTGCCCATTAAAAATTAAAGAAAATTCATACTTAATGGAGTTGCAGAAAATTTATACCAGAACCACAGATATANTAATTGTAGTTTAATTAGAACGAGTAATTATTTATTATGACATCGTCAATATGCCGGGCTGCAGTTTTTAATCATCTTTTAATTTAAAAATCACGTAACTTCCGGTCCATACCGGAAGTTCTTATACAGTTAATACAGTTAAACTTTCCCTATCTGGTCTTGGTTTTAGTAGTGTCTTTCCCCTGTACATCATACTTCTCCTGATGACAATTGAGTCATGCCGGTTATTTACTTAACTCCTTTCTCCAGAAAATTTTGAATTGAAATCACGTAACCTTCCATTCAAAACCGGAAGTTCTCATATAGTTAGTAGGGTCCTGAGATCTCTTAGCTTTCCGTATCTTGATTTTTATGTACCTAACTCCGTTCTCGAGATTAACGAAGGGCAGACAGTCTGACGAACGACAGTGGGAATGGATAGTTTTGCATTTTAAAAATTGCAGGCAAACAAGTATTATTATTATGTATATATAGAAATTTTAATTTCCGAACGTTGAATAATTTTATAATAATAACTTTTAAAATGTAATTCGTAAATTATAAATAAAACTTATATCGTTTTTAAAAAATAGAATTTAAACGAACTAAACAAAAAGTTCTTTTAGAATAATTGTAAGCCTATGTAGAATTTTACTAATATACGTAGAAAAATAACTAAATTTATCTTATTGAAAAAGAAAACATATAATAAAACTTTGGAATATATCATCATTGTTTTTATCAAGTAAATTGTAGAGTCTACAGATTTAAGATAACATTTCTTATGTTTTATTTTTGTTACTGTTGACAGTAGTCATGAAAAAGTCCTCTTCTATTGCCTTTCATTTGATGATTCTCTAATGTTTTCTTCGTATATGTATTTTGACTTTTTTTTTCATATCAATGAAGTTATTCGTTGTTAAAATGTTAATAATATGGAAACGTTTGTAACTTTCTTTTGAATTTTACAGATTTGTTTTCTCCTCTAATCGATGCATTGTTACTTAGTATCACATGTAATGCAACATTATTTACAGCTCACGTGTAATGATTGTTATCGTGGTTCTTACATACTGTACTTAAAACAGTAAATATTGAAATTTTAAAATGTTATCTAATTAGAGAGCGCGTAAGAGTTTAACAATGATAAAGCCTAAAGATAGAGAAGTAGATATAACCCAAAATTTGTGGGTATTACATTTTTTGTGCTTTGTCCATCCTCTTTCCTAACCGTCTTATGGACAGGATTAGACCCTATCACTCGGATAGAATCCATCTCTAGATCGAGAGGCTGCGGGATGAGTGGGATGCGGGTTCAGAGACAACGACTTGATCATCGATTCGGGAGCTAGTCACGACCTTCGAGGCAATGAAGAGCTCTTTTGGTCTAGGCCCGCAGCCGACGCTTGACGCGTGACAAATGTTAGAACTCATTATTTCCAAATTTCCTCTTTTTTTTCGGATTCAGACGTTTCTTTCTTATCTGGATAACCTTAATACAATATGTTTCAATTAAATTTTTATATCTTATTCAAAAAATATATATTTATATTTTAAACACTCGATTCAAAATAATAAATAATAGATTAATGTCTGTTCGAGTTATACGAAAAACCTATTAAGATATTTTCTTTGATAACTGTTTTTTTTTTAATAATTAGTTTTACTTCAATAGTGTATGGTGTGATTAGAAAGAATTAAAGAAAGTTGCAATGACTAATCGCCGAAAGACAGACTCACGTGAATGATAACGATGATAATGATAATTAAGAATTGTAGGTTGATGTTCGGATGATGAATATTAAGACTAATTAGATGAAATTTTACATGTAAATTATGAATAAATAATATACTTTTTTATTATTTAAATATGATCAAAAATTCTGATTTTATCCTCTTAATAATTCTTATTTTTTTAAAATATTACTTTTTCATATGTAAATAAATAGTAATTAAGATATTAAGGATATTTGATCAACATTATGTTAAATAATATTACGATTCTATAATTATCTATTTATATAATTATTTATGAATTATAAAAATTGCGTGACATTTTAAAAACTTATATTAATAAATAAAATATTAAACATAAAGTAAATGTTATATTAATACAATTGCATTATTATCTCAAAAAAAAATGAAATTTTAAAGATATTTCTTGTAAATGTCGTATGAATAATTTATTTGACGCTAGTTCATTTACTTAACTTCTAATGTTGTATAATTGAGTCAAAGTTGCTTTTATCTTCAACCCCATTAACATTAAGGAAAGTTTATGCTAATTTCCAAAGTAACTTTTATTTATAAATTTTATAGAAAATTGTTTATTTATCTTCTATTCCTTGTTATGAATTTCGTCATTCACTATTTAACGATATTCTTTAATGAAGAAGTAAGGATCATTTAGAGGAATGTGAAGACGTTACGTATCCATTAAGATCTTTTCTTCGGCTCGTTAAAAGCGCAAAATGCGGAAATTTAAGGATAACATTCGCTGAAAATATTATTTAACTTCTGTCCGAAACGAAATGAAATATTCGTTAAATTATTAATTAATTACTATGTTAATTTATCGCATAAATATTAATTTATTAAGACTCTACGTAGTAAATTTCTTCATACAATTTAATCTATACATTATTCAAATATCATATATCAAAGAATTTGTGGTTCAAATAAGAATAAAATTCTTCTAATGAATAAAAGATTCTCTAATTAATATATATGTATATATTATAATCCAATGGAATTGAATTCTCTTAAGTAATTTTATTGGGCCTTTTATTAACGATGTAAATAACAATTTCCGGTTTTATAAGTTATGAAATTAAACCAGAATTTTTATTTAAATAACTGAATTAATTTACTATTGAATGAATTAATTTGTCACATTTATTTATGTGTATAGTATTATTCTTGTTGACAAAATATTACTTTAATACGAATTTTAATGTAAGTTTATGAGAAAAAAAATTTCGTTTAAATATATATTGAGATTGATATTCTCTTATCTCAATGGGAACGTTTAGGTTCGGGTTCTGTGTAAGGTTACGAATAATGACGTCATCCACTTCCGTACGCATGCGTTGGCAGAGTAATTCGCTTTATCCGATCCCCACGAAAGCAAACGGGAGATGGACTCGACCGTCGTCACGGCGACGAATGAGAAAAAAAAAAAAGAGAGAGAAGAACAAAAGCGGAGGATCGGGACGAAACGGGGGGCGACGAAGCGAGTAAAAGAGAAAACAAGAAAATCCTGGGGGGAGGTCACGGAAATGCGGGGAGGAGACGACCGAGTCGAAACTCGGTGTCTCCGGAAATCCTGCGGGTGGCAGACTTTGGTCCTTTGGGAAAATCGCGGATACCCCATTTCGGAGATTTCTCTCCGTTTTCTTTCTGGAGCTCTTTCTGCCGGCCGTTCACTCGATTTACTTCTTCCGCCGGCCAAATTCGTTTTCTTTTCCTAGCGCGGGTCTCGGGCCAAAGGTTTTGCCGACTGGAAAATTTAACGCCGAATCTTCCCTTTCCATTTCGTCCTCCGATCCTCTTTTGTTCCTCCACTTGCTCGGAAAAATCGCCTTTCTCTCGCGTAACCCTGCTCTTCTCCAATGACGCTACCACGCCTCGGGACTTTTTCGGTTTCGATTCTTTCTAGCTTACCATTAGAGAATCCACGTGCTGTCCCCTTTAACTATTTAAAAACGGGATTAATGTTTTGCACATCCATCGAGCATTCCATCATCCGATTCTCATCGTCTTGTTGTTTCTTTGCAGATGGAAGACGTGGGTGACGTCCTTTCCTAATCTCCATTCTGGTAAGTGCTTTCTACCTTTTATTTTCGTCGTATCCAATTTCGTTGCCGTTGTGGCTATTATCGTAATTACTAGTCGTTAATTTCTACACGACTCCTCCCAGCAGTAGCGAATATCGGGCGAGTCTCAGATAAGCCAATACGTGAAATGGCCATCTCTTAAATTCGATAGACGGTGCTTTCGTAAAAAAAAAAAAAAAGTACTTGTAGAACGTTGTCGGATCGACTTTCGACAAAATAAATCTAAATCTATTCTCATATACAAATTATTCAATGATTTAAATGAATTTCTTTTCGATTTTATATAATAATATCTGGTAATATCTGAAGAAAGATTTGAACCATGATATTCTTTGATGTGCACGCTTTCTCCCTTCTTATTTGTCGATAAAGATTTATTTGTTTGTTTATCGACTCTGTATTTTGAGAAGAAATGTCTTTCCGAGCTGAAAATCGACAAGATTTTTCTGCCAGATCCACCATGAAGGAGGAGGAAAATAAAATTATGTATTATCGAATAGCGTGTAACGAGCGTTATTACAGTCGTGGGATTTTCAATTTGAAACATTTTTCAACATTTATGTAGAAGAAACACTTTTACGTATTCTCCTTATCTATTTATATGAATGAATATACAGATTTTATATTCATAAATCAATGAGAATAATATCTAAATTATTTTTAAAATATTACTTTTTCATATGTAAATAAATAATGTAGAGTTACCTGTTTTGATATTATATAGGCTATAATATTGCATTTTAAAATTTATTTATTATATATACTGTATTTTATTGCTAGTAACTTCAATAAGTCATATTTATTAAATTTTAATATTTTATTAATATAATTTTGACGGTAATAAATTATATAAAATCGAGAGAAAGTACAAAAAACCAGGAAGAATGGATTATTCTCAGAAAATTCAAATAAATTATCACATATATTTTATGAACAATATTTACGATTAAACTTTCTTATTAATCTGCATAAAAATGATAAAATAATTATACTAGATGAATATCGATCTTGTTAATGTCATGTTTTTTTTATTAATTAAAGAGGCTAAAAATTTATCGCATAATCTTGCATAACATAATTTATATAATTATGTTATGCAATGTTATGAAATGTTATATACGTATATACATTTCAGAAACCAAGTTATTAATTAACAATTAAATTATAAGTATGTAAAGATATGTAAAGATAACTTTAACTTGCGATAAGTGTATTTTGATGCGGTTACATCGTTTTCACACACTTCAAAAATGAGAAAATCCATGCATATTTTTTACACCTACATCTTTAATCGTGTCAATTCAACATAAAAAGTTTTTTTTTATTTTATTAGTATTTACGAAGAGAATGCTACATGTTCAACTGGAGTAGCCATAATTGATGATGTTTTATATAAGGAATATCAATATTTTTTATATGCACCTAACTTATATAATATCTAAACGAATTTTTTTTTAGTTTATCTTAATTAGCTCTTACTGAATATTACAGACCAATCTTATTGAGTAATTTATGAAATTAATTTCTGTCTCCAACTGTAGTAACTAATAATATTTTGTAGTAGATTTATTTTTTAAATTCTATTTTCTTATTTCTCTTTTTTTCCACAGTAAATAATTTTTTTTATTTTTTTTTTTNAAATAAAAAAATAAAATAAACAATATTTTATACATCTTAATACAATTCTTATAGCATTGTTAATAATCATAAAAATATTTATTCAATAAATAGTGCAATAAAAATAATAAATTACCTCATATTTATGGTTAATAATATTTATATCAAGAAATTCAACATTATTTCCTTTATAATATAAATAAATAATATCTAATAATTATTACGTTTTAATTATAGTGCTAAAACGTAGCGCCATAACTCGTCTACTATCTTATTTTCTTTATGGTCAAAATTATTATTATAATATTTTTATCGTCCGCAAATGTCAACGCAGTGTTAGAGTTGATTACTTATATTAATTTGAAAAGAAAATAATAAGTGACGGAAGGGAAAGGCTGAGTTTCATCAACATTTAAAAATGAAATAATACATCTTTAATCTCATCTTGAAATTCTGAATGTGAAAACCAAGCTTAAAGGCTTGCTCGATTACGTTCTATCACTGGTTACGTAATGATTTGCAAATTATTTATCCGAATGTTGATATATCTCTGGCAATGTTTTTGTGCACACCTGCTTCAAAATGTACAGCTGAACGTACAATTCATGTTTTTAAAAAATAAAAAAGTTACCTACACTCTAATATGACGGAAAATTGTCTCAACGCATTAGCCATATGCATAGAAGTTGAAACTATGGACAAAATTAGATATTCAGTTAATCATTGACGAATTCGCTCAACGAAAGAGTCGAAGAATGCCAATCAATATATATACAGTAAAATTTATTTATTCGAAGATTATTTTGTGTGTGCATTTTTATCCAAATAAAAATTCCAGAAAATATGGCTGCTGTTTAGAGGTGGCCGCTATTGGAGGTTCGACTTCATATATGCGTATGTTGAATTAATATTTCAAACGTTTGAAGTTTATATAAAATTCTATAAATTTAAATGTGTATAAAATAATGGCTGTTATATTATGCAGAACGTTTATTGTATAAGCTTGAAATAACTTATTCTCTACCAGATTATAAATAAAACTTTCTAAACATGATTTTTATTATTTACTTACAATTTACTTATCCTATAGATTTAAACTATAAATACTAAATTAATTTTATATTCGATTCATTTAAGTATTCATTTAGCTCGTCCCTTTAACCTTTATTTTTGAAAATAATTAATTTGATAACTTAAATTTAAACCAAAAACTAAAAGAGCAGTGGTGCTATTATAGATCCAAATGGAATATCTGGAAAAGAATATTTCTGTAATGTCATCTCAGAACTGAAATTATTACTAATATAGTTTTTTTTTCTGTTAGAGAATTTTGAATTGTATTGTCAGTTGTCATTTTTCATCGTAAAACCTATTGTGATTATCACATATTTCTCTACACCATGCCTTTATGTGACGTAATGAGACACGACACATTGTACTGTACATGCGTTGATCTCAAAAGATACAAAACACTTTCGCATCTTTATTGAATTGTTTTCAATATCAAAGCGAAAATAGTAGAATTTTAAAAATCGAAACTATTTTTGAATACTTTGTACACGTTTAATGATAGTATGATATTTATATAGGCTACATAAGCATATACATATTACTTCTAAGTAGTTAAAAATGTTTTATACACCTCGAAAGGCAATATCTAGTCGAGATTTTTACATATATTTCTCACATAAATAATATCTCATATATACTGTTATTATGGAGAAATTAAAATTGATAATGGTTTATTTTAATTATTCAATAAGTTTTTAAAATTTCTAATGCAATAATTCATATTTCTCTAATGTATAACTTATACATCTTTATTTATAAAATTATAACCAAGTTTTTAGAAATTATCGTAATTTTATATATAAAAAATTATCCAGAGAAATTAAGATGTAGTTAATTTACTTTATTTAAAGTTTAGTTCACATGGAATAAACATATTTATGGGATTTATTCGTTAATAAGGAAGAAAAAAATTCATTATAATACAGAATAAAATATCTGAAAATAATTATTTTAAATTTAAATTCGTACTTTCTAATTTATATTCTTTTAATAGATAGTTATAATAACGTATATTTATAGTAATTTGTGAATTGTGGATATTCTAAAGCTGTGTATTGTGTATAATCGCATTAGTTTTCCTTTAAAATCTTCTCAGCTAACCTCTTAGAATGCAAGACACGTACAAAATAGCGCCATTTGTTGGCTCGTCGTTGAATCACAAATCATCATATAAGTTAATTAACCTGGTTTTGCTAATGTTAATTTCAAAACTTCAGTCACTAAAGGCAATGGAAAGTCACTTTACGTAACTTATTTTCTAGTTAGATGGAAGGTAATAGAATTCTAATAGGTAAATAGAAGAGGCTTAATTTTTATTTTCTGGACTGAAATTTATAGCTAGGTGTGTCTACAGACAGACACCCAGTCAACAAAAAGCGCGTGTGATTATTGCACATTGTGTCGAATAACATGCGGTTACAAAATAATAATTTCGAGAGAGAGAATTTGATGGATAGATTCTGGCTTGGGTTTTAAAATTTATAAAGGTTCACTAAAAAAAAAAGTATAATTGAAATGACAATATGCAGCTTTGAAAGTGATCTAATGACAAATATGCAATTTAAAATTTTAAGAATTATAAATATAATTACGATATTTTTGTATATTGTTTCAAATCTCTTAAAATGTAAGTATCGAGGATGTGTTATTGGAAGCAAGGTGTTATGGAAGACAATTAGAAAGGTTGATACTGTATATTCAGTAAACAGGTAATTGTGCGAAGATTAAAATACACCATTGCCTTCTCTGCAGTTATTATTCTCTATTTATACAGTTAATGAGCGATGAGAGAAATTATGAAAGAGGAAGAGTGGAATAGTTAATGATTTCAGATTTAATATGATGTGGCAATTGTGAATAAAAGAAAACGAATATATATCGTTGAAATATTACGAAATGAAAATCTTCCAGTGAAAGTTAACCGTATATTTTTATATTAAAACAGATTTTTTGATTATTTTTACTTCGTATCTTTGTATAACTTTCACTTCATTCTATGTTAAAACTAGTCAAAGAAACTCTCATCCTCCCTAGCGATGTATTTTTTCATCATTAATAACAAACTATTTTCAATTATTTTGGTTTAGAAATTCTCTACTAAAGTGTAAATCATTTTTTTAATATTTTACTTTTCCCGTCATGTGGGTTCTAAAATGGTTCCCTTTTAAAATCTATCATGCGTTCAGACAGGTCCATAGTCGAATAGTGATGGACGGAGCCAAATATCCGGAAACCATTCGTATCTTACCCGTTGTTTATGAAGATTCTTGGGATTGCTCGTTCGGATTCAATTC